CGCGCCCGCGCGCTGACCTCCGCCGCGCGGCCGAGCCGAGCGCCCTGCTCGCGCACGCGCCTCCAGCGCCCATCGGCGGCGTCGCCGCCGAGGCAGCGGGCGCCTGTCCAGCGGGCCAGCGGCCCGTGCGCCCAGCAGCCGTCCAGCGCGTCGCCGAGGTCCTCGCTGTTCGCCAGGTAGCCCGTCTTCGCCTCCGAGATGGCCAGCCCCGTGGCGACCAGGCCCTCTGTGAGGGCCGCCATGGCCCTGGGGGGCTGCTGCGCCACCTGAGCCCTGCCGCCGACCGCCTGCAGCAACGCGTCGTCGACGACGTTCTGCAGGCGAACCACAGGGTTCCCACGCACAATCTCCACGAAGAGGGTGTGCACCAGCAGCTTGGCCAGCCCGACCGCACCACTGCAGCCCGCCACAATGGTGCCGTTCGCCTCGAACGGCTTGGAGACCGAGCCGCACCAGGACACGCGGCGCTGCGTGCGGTACGACACGCAGTAGCACTGCAGCAGCGCGAGCGGGAACTCCGTGGCGGCCGCCTGCACGCGCAGCTCCTCATGGCTGACGTGCTCGTAGAACTTCGCCAGGTCGGTGACGCCCGTGGCCGCCGAGAGGCCTCTGCTGCGAGCAAAGGCCGCCAGGAGGTTGTGCACCACCCCCGCGCGCTCGCACGGGCTCTCCGACGTGCCCCAGAAGGCAGGGTTCTTCAACGAGGCCTCCCAGCGGGCCACCAGCGGCTGCCGCACCCTGCTCCAGACCCTCAGCCAGATGGCCGTGAGGTCGATCGGCCGCTGGCCGCAGCCTTGGGGATGAACACCACGATCAGCTGCCACAGTGCCTCCCGCGAAGGCTTCCGCTCCCAGGCCATGAGGAGCTCCAGGAAGCGCTGCCTGTAGGTCCGCGGGAGGCGCAGCAGCTGCTCCGGGTGGAGCCTATCCCACCCAAGGCCGCACCCCTCGCGGTAGGTGCCCAGGACGCGCTCGAGGTCCTCGAGCTCCAGCGGCGGCAGCACCGACTCCTGGATGTCCCAGTCCTCGGGCGCCGCCTCGCCTGCACGCGACGGCTTGACCCAGAGCGGCCGCCACGCCTCCAGCAACGCAGCCACTGCGGCCTCGCCCGCAACAGGCATGCGCGGGTCGTCGTCACCGTCCGCGCCCGCGAGCACCACCGTGGGCACCACCGCGACCTGCTTGATGAAGCGATAGGCCGCCGAGCCGCCCTTCTCGGTGGCCGCGGCCCGGGCCCAGGCGCGCCACTCCGCGGCCTTCCTCTGCTTGTCCAGCCTCCAGCGCCGCCTCGCCTCCTCCTGAACGAACTGCACCGCCAGCTGGCGCGATGAGGAGCTGAGCAAGCCCACCACGCGGGCCAGCCCAGCCAGCGGGCCTTCCTCAGGCCACTCGAGCTCGACCGCCATCAGCACCTCGCGCTGCTTGCGCAGCGGCGCCCAGCAGCGACCTCCTGGCGCCGCCTCCTGCAGCGCGCGCCAGCGGGCGCATGCCGCCGCGAACGACATCCAGCGCCTGCAGGCAGCGCCGACGCTCCTCTTGCGGTCCTGCTTCCAGGCCACCTCCGTCTCGACCCTCTGCGTGCGCAGCCTGCCCGCGCGCCCTTTCCAGCGGCTGGGCGGCGCGATCTCGTGGAGGTCAATCAGGTAGGCCTCCACCGCCTCGAACCACTCCTGGCAGCCCACCTTGAGCGACTGCCCACCTCCAGGGCTCCAGGCCGAGAAGGCACGCTCGAGCGGCGCTGGCCGCACTGGCGGCGGCAGCGGCAGAGGGAAGGCGGCAGGGGAGAGCGGCCGCTGCACCTTCGCCGCTGGCCCTACGCCGCGAAGCACCACCTTGCACGGCACGTGGTCCTTCGTCGGTGCCCTCAGCAGCACCTCAGCCGCGTCCACAAAGCCCGTGAGGACCTTGCTGACGACCGCGAAGTCGACGACCGTCGAGCCGCCGGTCGGCTCCTCTGGGGCGACAAGCGCACCGCCTGCGCTGTGCGCCCACTCACGGACGCCCACGGGCTCCATGTTCCAGTCACCCATCACGACCCACGGCGACTCCAGCTGCCCCACGAACTCGAACTCGTGCAGCGCCGCCAGGAGCCCGATGTTCTCCTTCGCCCTGCCTATCTTCGTGATGAAGTAGGCCGAGATGACGCGGCACGGCTCCCTGAACCCCAGGTTCACCTCGCACGCCTGGAACCGATGGACAGGGAGCTCTGGCGCGGCGGCGGCCGCCGACGGCCGCAGCGTGGCCACCGCCACTCCTCCCGAGCTCTCAAGCGGCCCTGGGCCCGTCGGCAGCGCTGCCTGGCCGTGCCAGCTGAAGCCGCGCGCCTGCATCCAGCTTGCAGCGCGGGCCACCGCCTGCTTGCCCTTGAGGCGATGCTCCTGGAGGCAGAGCACCACAGGCAGCCGCCCCTCGTCGTCGTGCAGCCACTCGACCAGCGACTGCGCCGAGCCCCACGCGGTGGCGTTGGCCGACACCAGCTCCACCACGTCCGCCGCCAGCGGGCGGCTACCCAGAGGCGGGGCCTGCCACCCGCTGGCGCTTGGCCAGCGCTGCGCGCCAGGCTGCGCGCTGCTGCTCGTCCTCCATGCCCACCTCGTCGAACACGGCGTCGAGCCCGACGAGCTCGGGGCCGAGGTCGAGGTCGCCGACGCGCTTGCGGTCCCCAGGAGGACCATCAGCGCCATCAACACTGCCATCAGCCGCGGGGGCGGCCTCCTGCGCTGCGGCGGCCCGCTCAGCTGCGGCTGCAGCCGCGCGGGCCCGCTCGGCCGCCGCTGCCTCGCGAGCACGCGCGTCGGCGGCGGCGAGCTTCTCCACGAGGCTGCGGGCTTCGGCGGCCATCGCGAGCAGGGCGCCGCCCTCCTCCCCGAGCAAGAGGACCCGCTCCCGCTCCGCCTCGAGGCCCTCGAGGCCCTTGAGCAGCACCTTGCCCAGGCAGTCCTCGGCCTCCACAGGCTCGCCCACCTCCATGGGCGTCGGCCCCGTGTGCTGCTCCAGGTCGGCGCGCTTCCTGGCGCGCGCGGCCTCGGCCACCTCCTCCAGCTGGTCGCGCCGCTTCTGGAGGACGTCAGCCTGCTCCGCCACGCGGACCGCGACGACCGCCTGCTCCTCCTGGACGGCCGCCAGCGCAGCCTCCGCACGGCTGACCTGGCCCTTGATCTTCGCCTCCCTGGCCAGGAGGGCCTGGAGCGACAGCTCGGCCAAGGGTTTCGCTGGCGGCGGCGCGTCCACCACAAGCACCAAGGCCCCGAGGTCCTGGACCAGGGTCGCCGACCAGCCATCCCTGGGGCCAAAGTGGCGGAGGAGGGCCTGGCGAACCTCCTCGCCCGCGCCGCCGCTGCCGCTGGGCCGCTCCTCAGCCACCTGCTTGGCCGCGCCCTGCGCCCACGGCGCCGGCGTGGCCGCGGCGGCGGCAGGCACATCCGAGGCGAAGCGCACGCGCTTCGCCACGACCTTCTCCTTCCCCTTGGCCTTCGCCTTGGCCTTGTCGATGGCTTCGCCGATCGTGCCCGCGCCGCGCGGCGGCCGCGCCGCCTTGCAGAGCCTGCATTCCGTGCGCCAGGCCATGTTGACGTAGCCAGCAGCACACGAGCGGCACGTCCAGGGGTCGCCACCCTGGCTGGCACCGCGCGTGCCACCTGCAACTCCATTCGCCATCGGCCCGCGGGGGCACGCCGCTCTGAAGATTGCACCCGCAAGAGCGAGCACCTGGCTCGCCCCAGAACGGCTGGAGGATGGGGAGGAGGAGGAGGAGGAGGAGGAGGAGGAGGAGGAGGAGGCGGAGGAAGAGGGGGGGAGGAGGAAGGGAGAAGGAGGAGGGGAGGGAGGAACGACAGGAGCAGGAGGAGTAGGAGTAGGAGTAGGAGGAGCAGGAGCAGGAGGAGGAGGAGGAGGAGGAGATGGAAGAGGAGGAGGAGGAGGGGGGGAAACGGAAGAGGACAGGATGGCAAGGCGTGTAGACGCGGCGGCCCCAACCCCCAACCCCCAACGTCATGTTTTTTCCAGGACGTCGACCCCCAGAGGTTTGGACGAATTCCCCTACGGTAGGGTCGTGCGGCGTCGGCACTCGCAAGGCTTTTGGCACCGCGTGGATTGTTTGATTTTGAGTTGATTGTGGCCTTGATCGTTTAATGTTGAATTTCGTCGGGTACACTGGGCCCAACGTGTCCCTCGATACTTCCGCGTCGCAAGATGCAGCCTTGAACGCCTTCGCCAACGTCGCCGGCGCGCCAACGCCGCATGAACCTACAGTAGGCCAGCATTGCATGCTGAGTCACTTTGGGACGGCCCGTGGGCCCGGCGATGCCCCCCCGAGCCCGCAACACAAGCAGATGTTGTCACGACGCCAGGCGGTCTGGGCCTGTGGTGGTTGCGGGAACCATGGCTGGGGGACGTGTGCGCCCTGCGCGGCCTGCGGGACCTGTGGCGCCCATGCGACACGCAGGACCTGTGGGACCTGTGGGGCCTGCGGGGCAGGCCTCTCAGGAGCCTCTCGGAAGCCTCTCAGAATCCTCTCAGAAGCCTCGCAGAAGCCTCGCAGAAACCTTTTCAGAAGCCTCTCAGAAGCCTCGCAGAAGCCCCGCAGAAGCCTCTCAGAAACCACTCGCAAGCCCCTCAGAAGCCTTCCACAAGCCTCGCAGACGCCTCCCACAAGCCTCGCAGAGGCCTCAGAGATGCCTTTCAGAGGCCTCAGAGAAGCCTCTCAGAGGCCTCAGCAGGAGCTTTGGATCGGTTGCAATCCGGTGGTCTCCTGACAGGTTTGTATAGGAATCCTTTAGGCTGCGATCAGTCCGTCTCCAGTGGTTACAATCCGACCGAAGCAGTCCCTGAACAGTCCGAAATGATTGTGATCGGTCTTATTCCCGTCCCCCCTCCCTCCTCCCCCGCGACTCCCTCCTCCCGCTCCCCTCCTCCCTCCCGCACCCACCGCCCCCCTCCCTCCCCCCCTCCCCCGCGCCCGCCGGCGTGCCGCGCCGCCCCCTGCGCCGCCCAACGCGCCAGCTGGAGTCGAGTGGCATCTCCGACAGCGAGCGGAAGGCGCTCGAGGACCCGCCGCCTCCGGGCCTCTCCCCTCCCCCTCCTTCTCGCCTCCTCCCTCCCACCCTCCCCCATTCCTCTCCTCGTCCCCCCTCTCCCTCTTCCTCTCGTCTCCCTCTCCCCTCTCCCTCCCCCTCTCCTCTGCCTCTTCCCTTCTCTCTCCTCTCTCCTCTCCCCCTCCTTTCCTCTCCCTCTCCTCTCCTCTCCCTCTCCCTCTCCTCTCCTCTGCCTCTCTCTCCATCTCGCCTCCTCTCCCTCTCCCTCTCCCCCCCTTCTCCCTCGCCTCTATCTTCCTTCGAAGAAGGAAAACGACATAAACATACATTTTTCGGCGGTCCTTGGGCCCCCCTGGGCGGCGCCTCCGGCGCCGCCCCTGGCGCGCTCAGCGTCGGAAGCTCGAAAAGTGGAGAACCTTAACAAAACATGTATTCTAGACGTTTCGCGTAACCCGGCCAGCCCATCCAGAAACGTTGACCAGAGGAATTGTCTCGATCTGGGAAGTGGGCAGCACACAAAGGAAGGGTCATCCAGTGGAGGCCTCTTGGAGCATTTTGGGGGCCTCTTGGCGGTCCCAGACGCCTCTCAGAGTGTCTTGGGTGCCTCGGACAGTTTCTTGGGGCCTCTTGGGGGTCTCTGGGGAGCCTCTTGGACGCCTCTTGGGCGCCTGTAGTTACCTCTTGAGGCCGTCTGGGCGCCTCTTGAGGCCCTCTTGGGACGCTCTTAGGAGCCTTTGGAGCGCTCTTGGAGCCCTCTTGGGCCATCTTGCAGCCATCTTGAGGCATCGGATGGCCATCGGAAGCGAAAAGGCGAGAAAGCTAAAAACACTGGCCTCTTCGGGGCCTCCTGGGGGAGCTCTTTGGCCACTTGGAGCCGTCTTGGAGTGGTCTTGGGGCCGCTTGGAGCATCTTGGGAACGATTTTGAGGCATCTCGGGATATCTTGAGCCATCTTGGAGGTCATCTTGGGCTCTCCCAGGCGCTCGTGGAGTCATCTTAAGCAGTGCCCCCCCCAGGAGGCCAAAATTTGGCCAAACCCTCAGTACAATCGATTTTGGCATTCTCGCTGAGGCCTCTTGGAGCGTCTTGGGTGCCTGTGGGGGGCCTCTTGGGGCCTCTGGGGGGTCTCTTGGGAGCCTCTTGGGGGCATCCTGGGGGCCTCTTGGGGGCCTCTTGGTGTCTCCTGGTTACCTCTTGGGGCCCTCTTGGGGCACCCTTTGGAGCCTTGGGAGCGCTCGTGGGGCCATCTCCGAGGAGATCGATCAAAGAAGGGGGGTCCTTAATTAGCGCACCCCAAATGGAGGCCAACATGTGACCAAAACCCTAGTAGAACCAATGATGTTGGCTTCCTCGACGAGGCCGTTTTGAACGCCCTGACCGCTCGCGGGGCGCCCCGTCCAGGTACAGGGGAGGGGGTATAGGGGCCTCCCCGCCCGCAAGCCGTCTCGCTCACTCCCACCCGCCCTCCCAACACATACGTAGCACCCGAGCCTGGCCCGAGCCGCCGCATATTCAGCAGTTGTCTTTGGATGGGCAGCCACTGGGGGCGAATCCGCCGCCGCCTCGCCCCCGTTGCCGAATCGCCGCCGCCGCAGCCGCTGCAGCCGCTGCCGCCACCGCTGCCGCCACCGCCACCGCCGCCACCGCCGCCGCCGCCGCTGCCCCCACCGCAGCCACCGCCGCCCGCCACCGCAGCAGCCGCCGCCGCCAAGTGTATTCTGTATTGTTTTTGGATAAGGATGGTGGTGGGAGGCCGCATCGGGTTCGCTGCGCATGCTCAGAATTTGCAGGCATTGTTGTTTACACAGGATGGTGGGGGGGCCCTCATTGTCATTGTCCCTGGTTGGCTCCCAGTCGCCTGGGGGAGGGGGTGTATACTAATAGGAAACAGTAATCAGGACTCCCTCCCGCCGGCAAGCCGTTTCGCTCACTTCCACCCGCCCTCCCAACACATACGTAACACCCAGGTCTGGCCCGAGCCTCGGCATATTCAGCAACCGTTTTTGGATGGGCAGCTACTGGGGGCCAATCCGCCGCCTCCGCCGCCGCAGCCGCAGCCGCAGACCCCGCCGCAGCCGCCCCCTCTGCCAAATCGCGGCCTCCGCCGCTGCCGCCGCCGCGCCGCCGCCGCCGCCGCCGCCGCCGCCCGCCGCCGCCGCGCCGCCGCCACGCCGCCGCCGCCACATCGCCGCCGCCGCAGCCGCTGCCGCCGCAGCCGCCATCGCCGCCGCGGCCGCAACCGCCGCAGCCGCCGCCGCAGCCGCCGCCGCCGCCGCCGCCGCCGCCGCCGCCGCCGCCGCCGCCGCCGCCGCCGCCGCCGCCGCCGCCGCCCGCCGCCGTTGCAGCCGCCGCCGCCGCCGCCACAGCCGCCGCAGCCGCCGCAACCGCCGCCGCCGCCAAGTAGATGCTGCATTGTTTTTGGACAGGGATGGTGGGGGGAGGCCGCATCGGGTATGGCGTGCATGCTCCGACTTTGGATGCAGAGTGTGTGCTTGCATTGGTGTTCCAAGAGATGGTGAGGGGGTGCCCTCATGGTTTCTGGTTGCTTACCAGTCGCCTGGGGAAAGGGGGCGTTTCTTCTTGGGGGGCAGTGATACCCCCCCGAAGGGGAAAACATTGGGTTGGAAGAGAAACCGGCCGAAACCACCTACGCCCAGAGGACTGGTGGGATTTGGTATTTTCCGGGGCCCTTTTGGGAGTGCTCTTGGAGTTCCCTTGGGGTTTCTTGTCGGCATCTCAGGCCGTCTGGGAGCCATCTTGGGCGTTCTGGACCGATCGCTCGGCGATGCGATCCGAAGCCCTCTTAGGCAGTCGTGGGGGCCTCTGGCGCCCTCTTGGCTCGTCTTGGGACTTTCTTGGGGCCGACAACTTTAACGCGACAAGCCGCGACAAGCCCCAGGGGCCACGCGACGCGCCCAGGAAGACTGGAGAATGGGGGCTCCGGGTCCGTTGAAGAAGCATCATCCGGATTGAGGATTGAGGTTTCCGGGGATCGACCAGGGCCTGAGTACACTTGAGCTCGTTCCTCGAGGGCACGGTGGCGGATGTGTGTGTACATCTATATATACTCATGCACACACATATATATATATATACATTCATGCATACAACCATCCATCCATCCATCCATACAGCTGTACGTACATACATACATCAACGCATGCATGTATGCATGCATGCATGCACACCTACCGACCTACTTACCTACCGCCCTACCCATTTGTCTATATCCCCCTCTGCCTACCATAGTTCCCTGCCTACTTGCCTACCTACCTATCTACCTCCCCCTACTCGCCTACCTACCTACATACATACCTACATGCATGCAGGCATGCACACATACGCACAAACACACATACACACATACACTCATGTGCAGACATGATTTACAGCTGTGGTTTGCAACCATATTCTATGCCCGTATGTAAACGTGTGTGTGTGTATGTGTGTGTGTGTGTGTGCACGCTGATGCCAAGCTCCCGTTCTACCGCAAAGCGTCGGGGGGCATGACGGAGGTCGCTGGGTTCGGTATCCTCCTTTTTGCTCCTGGTTAGGTTCCCCCTTCCCTGCGATACGTAGACTCTTCGAGCAGTTGGTTGTAGCCTTCTTGGCCTGTTCTGCGTATCGTCTCGCAGATATCATTTGAGCTAGAGGGAAGGGGGTTGGATGGGGGAGGAGGATGAGGGAGGTCTCCCCTTGGTGATGGTCAGCGGATGCGCGGCCGCGGTTCGGTACCAGCTGAACGTGTGTTGCCATTCTCTCGATTCCTGTTGTCTTCAACCGTAGATCTCTTCCCGAGTTCGAAGTCGTAATCTTCAATCTTCCCTGTCCCGACCCACTGCGCTGCCCCTTTTTAATTCTTGTTGGGTGAAGTTGCGCTTTGACGTGGATCTGAGGAGAGAGTAGGAGCTCTTTCATTCAGTGTACGCCCTGTCCTCCACTACAGTTCATTCCTCGTGCCCGGACGCCGATTGAAGGACCAGGTCGCGAAGTTGAAGCGGCAGCACGAGGAGGCAGAGCTGAAGGTGCCGCCGGAGGGGTGAGGACGAGAAAGGGAGGGGGGTCGATCTGTGCAGGGCCGCGGATCCGGTGAGCGGGTGAGGTGGCATCGACCAGGAGGAGGTCCGGAGGGGGCGCCATAATTCACACGCGTGAGCATGATCGTCCTCCTAACGCTTGCCTCATTCTAGGCCTCCCAGATGGGGTCCGAGTAGACGGGGTCGGAGGATCGCGTCGCATCGCCGATGCATCGTTGATGCATCGACGATGCGGCTCGATGTGGAGACCGTGTTTCCCCACGCCGACGTCGCCGATGCATTGCCGACGTCACCCACGCATCGCCGATACATCGGCGAGGCATTGGCGATGCGGCGCAACCCTTTGACCCCATCTACTCGGACCGCATCCAGGAGGCCTCTACTCCTGCCTGTGCCTCCCCCCTCCTCCGCAGTCCCCTCTGCCTCATCATGCGAATCCCGCTCTCGTCGCCCTCCGGTCCCCTCTCTCCTCCACCAGCAGTTCTGTGCGCTCTTTACCTGTTTGCGTCCGTGGCGCCCTTCTCCCGGGCGGCGGCCGGAGGGCGCGAGGGTCCTCGCGTAAGACCGCTTCGCTGTGCGCGCCTCCTCGGCGACCCGAGGTCCAGGGCAGCCTTCGAGCCGAGCCGGGCCTGCGCAGTTCGGGTCGTAGCGTGGGCCCCCGGCAGCGGCAGGGCCGTTCCATTCACCGTTCCAGACAATCGGGGGCGGACAGAACCCCCAACAGTGACACGTCGATTAGTGAATTGTCCGTTTTCGGTTTTCGAGAGGGCGCCGTGGTCGTTATTTTCCAGGCTTGCGCCCGCCAGGTTTGGGCCTCAGGTCGTTTTCAGTAAACCACGTTCTGCTAAAGGGGGGTCTGTCCATCCCCGAGACAATCGGGGGCGGAAAAGAGGGGGGTGATGACTAGGGGGGGGGGGGATATCATGGCGTGGGCCATGGTCTTTCCCCAGATTTCATGGCGCCTCTTCTTGTTTCATTGCGTCCCTGGCCCCCCCTGCTGGGCCGCGCACATGCCGCCGGTCATGATTTGCACCTTCCCCTCTTGGACACCCCCCTCTTGGCCTCTCCCGAGACAATCGGGGGTGGACAGACCTCCTGCCCTGACACGGTGATCCGCGAATCGGCCGTGTTCGGTTCGCGAGAGGGCGCCGCGGCCGTCGTTTTTGCGGGTCCAGATCCGTCGGTGTCGGCCCCAGGCCGGTTTTGCGGGTCCAGGTGGTTTACTAAAGGGAGGTTTGTCCACCGCCCATCCTTTCACTGCTTCCAGAAAAGTGCGTATTGAACATGGAAGCGGCCAAGAAACGGCGACCAGAAACGCCAACAACAACGGCTCCGGGACTGGAGCCAGAGCCAGAATCGGTAAACAGCGGCGATGGAACCGGTAACAAAAACGGCGTCGGAACCGGCATCGAAAAATCAGCCCTGTCGTTTCAAGGGCCCTCTGCGTTGCTGTCGTTTGGGTTCGCATCGCGTTGGGGACCATTCCGATCGCTCCCACCGCGAGCGCCCACCGCACCCGCTTGGCCCACCGCAGTCCCAGAAGAGGATCGTCGAGCTGCTGGAGAAGAGCTCCAAGCAGCAGAAGTCGGTGGACGAGGCTGAGCGCGAGGCCGGGAGGAGGGCGAGGGCGGAGTCGTCGTCGTCGATCGAGGATCGAGGTTCGAGAAACGAAGAGGTGTATCCAGTTTGTTGTTCCGTCTGGGGGGACCGTTTCAGGCCTATGGGCCGACGGAAAGCGGTCCTGGATGAACAGTTGGCCAGGTGGCATACCGCGACAGGGGTCCAGGTACCCGACCAGGGTTGAGCGGATTGAGTCAGACGGTGCTGGAGGAGGACAAGGAGGGAGGATGGCCCAGATCTCTTTTACGATGTGATGTCAACGGAATGTGTGGGGGCCCAGATTCGGGATGCACAAATTGTCCAGGGGAAGGGGTCCAGATCTCTGCGGGCCTACGTGGTGAGAACACGACGTCGGAGGTCTGGGGACGAGGAGAGGAAGGAGGCTATCAGGAGTTGCCCTGGTTGGTTCTGGCACGCAAGTTTGAGGCGCTTGGCCTTTGAGAGCAGGTTTCTAGGATGGTTTTTGGGGGGCGTCAAGGTTCCGGGGGGGGCCTCCGGTGAGGAGGAGGAGGAGCAGGAGGAGGAGGAGGAGGAGGAAGAGGAGGAGGAGGAGGAGGAGGGGGAGGAGGAGGTTCCTAGCGTCGCATTCGCCTTGCCTGCGTAGTCTACTCGACGGGCCCGTCGAGATCCGGGCTCTCGAGGCGGGCACACGAGCTCAAATACCTGGCCCAGCGCCAGCCAAGAGGGCGAGTGAGCTGAAGAGGTCGGCCCGAGATCGGGTGGCACCCGTTGCACAACCCTGTCGTCGAGCAGAAGGCTTCAGTCGGGCGTGCCCCTCTACAGTCGGAAAATTCAAAAAGTAGAACAAGCAGTCTGGGGACGATGTTTCTATTTTTGGATGAAAATACGTTTGATTATGTTGTTGACTCTGCTTTTAATCCCCATATCCTAAGATGGGGTTCTTGATATTACTTGGACGCCTCCTACTCCTCATCCTTCTTCTCCTTCTCCTCCCCTCTCCTCCTCATACCCAGAGCTACTCACACACAGACTGACTCACACCTCGACTTACTTATACTTACCCAGACTTACTCACACACACACAATTACTCTTACTCAGACCTACTCATACTCAGACCTACTCCTACTCAGACTTACTCGTGGTGAGACTCATGCACGCCCCGTTCGCGGCCGTTTTGTGGGGATACCTCAAGCGGTTTGCTTGTTTTCTGTCTCAACATCCTTGGCTACCAGAGCAGATTGTGAGGATGTCTCAGGCGGGGCGCTGGTTTCAGCTCCCCCTGAGGGGAGCCGCCAGGGGTTATCTCACGGTCCCGTTCGCGGCCGTTTTGTGAGGATGTCTCAAGCGGTTTGCCTGCTTTCTGTCCCAACATCCTTCGCTTTCGGAGCAGATTTGGAGGATGTCTCGAGCGAGGTGCTCATTTTCACCCCCTAAGGAGCTCACGGTCCCGTTCGCGGCCGTTTTGCGGGGATGTCTCAAGCGGTTTGCCTGCTTTTTGCCTCAACATCCTTCGCTTCCGGACCAGATTTGGAGGATGTCTCGAGCGAGGCGCTCATTTTCATCCCCCTAAGGGGAGCCGCCAGGGGTTATCTCACGGTCCCGTTCGCGGCCGTTTTGTGAGGATGTCTCAAGCGGTTTGTTTGTTTTTGTGTCCCAGCATCTTTCGCTTTCGGAGCAGATTTGGAGAATGTCTCGAGCGAGGTGCTCATTTTCACCATCCTAAGGGGAGCCGCCAGGGGTTCTCTCACGGTCCCGTTCGCGGCCGTTTTGTGGGGATGTCTCAAGTGCTTTGCTTGTTCCCCATATCCTAAGTATGGGTTTCTTGTTATTGGCGGACCGCGCCGGAGGAGAACACAGACGAGAACACACCACTCCTCTCACTCAGACCCACTCAGACTCACTCATCACGCAGACCCACTATTCACTCGGACTCACTCAGTCACTCAGACTCACTCATCACTCAGACCCACTCATCACTCATACCCACTCATCATTCAGACTCATTCATCACTCGGACTCAGGCATGACTCAGACTCATCTCTCCGACTCACTCATCACTCAGACTCACTCATCACTCAGACTCACTCATCACTCAGACTCACTCGTACTTGTATTCATACATTCACTACACTCACTTAGGTCCACTCATCGGATGATTGACACACACACACACTGATGTTGAGGATGTGTCAGGCGATTCTGTGGCTTCAGCACTCCTAAGGGGAGCGGCGGGGTGGTATTTCCTTCGGCCCCGTTCGCTGATTTTTGTGGGGATGTTTCAGGCGGTTTGGCCATTTCTCTTCCAACATGTTTCGCTTTCGGAGCAGTTTGCGAGGATGTCTCAGGCGATTCGTTGGTTTCAGCACTCCTAAGGGGAGCGGCGGGGGGGTATTTCCCTCGGCCCCTTTCGCGGGATTTTGTGGGGATGTCTCAGGCGGTTTTGCGTTATTCTCCTCCAACATGTTTCGCTTTCGGAGCAGATTTGAAGGATGTCTCAGGCGATTCGCTGGTTTCAGCACTCGAAGGGGAGCGGCGGGGGGGTATTTCACTCGGCCCCTTTCGCGGGATTTTGTGGAGATGTCTCATGCGGTTTTGTCATTTTCTCTTCCAACATGTTTCGCGTTCGGAGCAGATTTGGAGGATGTCTCAGGCGATTCGCTGGTTTCAGCACTCTAAGGGGAGCGACGGGGAGGTATTTCACTTGGCCCGTTTCGTTGGATGTTGTGGGGATGTCTCAGGCGGTTTGGCCATTTTCTCTTCCAACATGTTCGCTTTCGGTGCAGATTTGGAGGACGTTCGCGCCCAGTTTGCGGGGATGTCTCAGGCGGTCTGGCCGTTATGATGCTGGGCATCTGTTGTTGTCGGAGCAGTTTTGGGAGGATGTCTCAGGCGATTTGCTGGTTCCAGCACTCCCAAAGAGGAGGAGGAGGAGGAGGAGGAGGAGGAGGAGGAGGAGAGAGGAGGAGGGAGGAGGAGGAGGAGAGAGGAGGAGGAGGAGGGAGGAGCGAGGGAGGAGGAGAAGAGGACAGCAGAAGGAAGGAGGAGGACAGGGGAGCATGATGATGGGATGATGATGATGATGATGATGATGATGATGATGATGATGATGATGATGATGATGATGAGGAGGAGGAGGAGGAGGAGGAGGAGGAGGAGGAGGAGGAGGAGGACGTGGGCAACTCGAGTAGCCAGGGCCAGACGATCGAGGTTTGATGTTCCAAGGCTTCAGGTTTTGCTCCAACGCTTCCGCCTCACTCTCCTTCGCTCTCCGCTCTCCTTCACTCTTCTGCATTCATACTCACTCATACTCAGATTCAGTCACACGCAGGTTCACTCGCACTCATACTCGCTCATATCCATATTTAAACTTACTCACA